TAGGAGCTTCGGACTCACTCTACTACCACTCTTTTCTACGAACAACGTGGTAGCCAACAACACCCAAATCCAAGCACCAGCCTCATCCGAAGCCAACTTATTTTTACCCCTAAATATCTCCCCAACAGAGGCTTCAGCCACCGAACCACGCTGCCACACGGACGCAATTAGGTCAGGCTTCGTGACCGAAAGTATCTCCATGCAGTAAGACTGGCATGCCTCTGAATCCGGGTCCTCAACGACCACAGCTCCCTCAACAGGAATGTCCAAAATGGGTCGGACATCGTGCAACATAATGCTCATCTCACCAAAAGGCAGGTGAAACGAGTTAGTATCAGGCTGCCATCGCTCCACAAATGTAGTAATCAGTGGAGTGTCCAAGTGGGCGTGCATGGAGTCTACCAGATGTGACAGCCCATTCTGTCTAATCAGATCAAGTGCCTCGACAGACATTTCACCTCGCCAAGCTTTCAGATTTTCTACAGCTCGCTGTCTGTTCTGGCATTTCAATAAGTCTCGCATCTGTCCATTCCACATTCGGGAGGCTACGTGCCCTAGAAAGCTAGGGATCATACTCCCATCCATGGGCCCACCGGGAACTGGACCTCTAACGATCCAGTCTGCCCCATCATCAGTCCTAGATCGTTTGCTAGTACCTACATTACAATAGAAAAGACAAATATATAAATACATAATTGAAATATTAAGTCCAAATATTGATAATGTAGGTACTGATAATTTGTTGCGATTAAGTCGAAATATTAATGTCAAACGAAATGAAAATACTTAAATTATTTACCTGAGGATCCAGTGCTAGCAAAATGTCCACCAGTCTGTCGTGGAATAGCAGGCCGAACAGGAGCCGTAGGCTGTGCAGGAGACGCAGGCTGTGCAGGAGACGCATGCTGAGCAAGAGGTGTATGATGCGGTGGGAGTCCAGGAGAAGAAATATCGTACGCATCGTCATATGATGCGGACTCGTCGGAACCCTGCTCCGTCTGGGCTACCGACTCATCAGCATAATATACCTGCTGACCGCGCGGTGCTGGTGCACGGGGTATCGAACTGCCTGCCTGGCCAGCATAATAATATCTATGCTGATCATGATTGTATAGTAATGGTCCGGGGACGGGGACTCTAGAATTGCCTGCCTGGCCATAC